TCAATTATTTTTTCGATTAATAGGATTGGATGAATAAGAATTGGATAGCCAAATGTTGCTTAAAGAACATTTTTTACTAAATTAAACCAGGTGAAAATAAAACTTTTCCACTTGAGGAGTTCTGGATAGAGCATGTTGACAGATGAAAAAGTTTTTTCTTAAATACAAAAGTACATTTCTTTTACAATTTTGATATAATTACTGCTCTAAGTGGGTCGCTCTGTCAGCTAAAGGCATGTTTCAAAGTCTCTATACTCCAGTTAACAATTAATCGATTACTAAATTAGTTGACGATTATTTCAACAATTGATTAATCCAATTGTTTGAGCCAGAGTTTACATATAATTAATTTTTCAAACATACTTTCTTTTTTTGCTCCTCTTCATACAAAATACGTTTTGAACATATTTAAAATATCTCTACTTATGTATAAATATGTGCATTCATTTACAGAGTTGCTGATTGTTTTTCGTATCTTCTTTATGTATTCTTTTGATATAAACACTTATTCAACAAGGCAGTCTAGTGACTTCTATTTACCATTTGGAACAAACTACCTCCAGCTCTTCAGTCCTCAAATACAATTCAAATTCATTGTTTTGTAAAATCAACTAAAAGTTAAACTAATATAAAAAAATACATATGTAAACTTAATACATTGGATATACTGACTTGTCTTTTTACACTGTTGTAACTTGTTTTTTCTAAGTAGAAGTGTCTTATAAGGCCCTTTGGTTTTCTTAACTTTTCCTGCAGTTTTTTTTTTAACTACATTATTGATTTTAATATTTTTTGTACATAATATTGTAGCAAACTTTCTGTTGATGTTCTTTTACTGCAATGACTTGATGTAAGTGAAAGCTCTAAACTCTTGTTTTTACATTTAAAACATTTGCATCCATCTCTCTCACATACCTGTGCTTCCTTTACCATTTACATTTGCTCCTGCTAGCTCAGCTCCGTCGCCGTACCCTGGCTGCACTGCTGTTGTTGAGGCTGGAGGCAGAGCGCTGAACTGATGCAACGGCGCTCCCATCTGGGTGGACATGACCCCTGGGGTGGAGATGCTCTTGGACGAAGTGATGGGGGTGCCATACTGGTATGAAACATTTGGGTAGAGGGGAGCATCTGGGCCAGCAGCTGGTGGTGAAACCAAACTGGGATTCTGCTGCGTTGGAGAAGCTGTGTACGAATGCTGACCATAGTAGGACCTCGGATCAGCATAGAGCGCTTGCTGCTGCTGGTGGTACGGCTGTTGGTTGTATTGGGCATTTGAAGGTGGATTGGTGGGGTAGGAATGAGAAGGCGGAGGAGCAGAGTATGGAGATGATGCTACTTGATGCGGAGGGAGTTGTGTTTGCTGCTGCTGATGGTTGTGTTGGTAAAAGTGAGTACTGCCTGTGATCAAAGCTTTGCTAGGAGCAGAGGTGGCGTGGCTTGGGATGATGGGGTAGCTCTGCATCGGAGGTGGGGCGCCATAGTAGCCTGTAGGGGGGTATGTGAGTGGCGGCAGTGGACCTGGAGAAGAGTCGCATTTTAGACAATAACATTTCACATATGTAATCTGATCTAAATAAAGAGAGAAGCCACGTTCAATTCTCTATTTTTACCTGTGCTTCAAAATAAAAGACAATTATGAAAAACTTGAATTTCAAATTTAGGTTAAGCCTGTTGTTTGATAATTGGTTCTGTAACTTCTCCCTGAAAACATCAGAAATCTCCTGCTTCTACACAAAAGTCAGAGAAGAACGTTTGGCTCCATTACATAAAGCACTGACAGATGATCAAGTTAGCAGCAGTAACCCTGACGAAAGGCCAACTCCCCCAAGGGATGTTGGGAGCATTACACAGGGGCTCAGGTGAGAGCGTCCTCATGTCCCTCAGCGTCTAATCATGATAGCTCAGCTGGACTACAGTAGGCAGGAAAGCACTTCAACCATCATCACAACGGCACAAAAATGAAATGAATAAAACAAAACAAATCACGTTGACTTAAGGTACAGAACGGGTGGGATCTTATACCTACATTGTCACAGCAAATCAACCAACATCTTTAAGGATCCCACACATTCATGCCATCAACTTAATCTACTGCACACAGAAAACAATTTCACCAATCCCCCCACCACACACACACCAGCACACACACTCGTTCAGCCATCGTAGTGAGGACCATGTGTTGACTCCCATTGATTTTCAGTCATTTTCAACCCTTTCTATGCCCTAAAACTAACCTTAAACCTAACCATTACCAATGCAAACCTCACCCTAACCCTAACCCAACTGACACTTCAGCCCTAAACCTAACCATTAGCAAAATAGCTTGTGAGGACCAGCAAAATGTCTTTACTTTGCAACAACTGGTCCTTCCGTAAAAGTTTAAAAAACAATCCACTGAACCTGGTTTCCAAGGTTTAAAGACGTTTCGCTTCCCCTCCAGGAAGCTTTCTCAATTCAAATGTCTGGATCCGCAGTGAACTGGTCCTCAATCTGATGGTGAAATTGGAAAAATGGTCCTCACTCTGAGGGCTAGACAGGTACACACACACACAAACACAGGCCCACATCCGATCCAAAAATATGCCATAATAACAGACATAATACTCAGAAATAAAAAAAAGAGATTTCACTAAACTGTGCAAACTTCATATTACAAAATGTACATATAAATAACTTTTTTTCTTAAATATATATATATATATATATATATATATATATATATATATATATATATATATATATATATAACACATTATAAAAGGATATAACAATTAAAATAACTAAATATAACAAATAAGTATACTTTCTCACCACCTGTCATCGTCCTATCATAGATATTCAAGCTATTTTATTAGTTTGTATTTGCAAAACTGCTAATCTTATTGTGTTTTATTATGTTTTTTAAATTTTTACATAAGCTGTCGTGTGTTTAAAATGAAAAATCATGTTATCTTACAGCCAGACCAACATGAACAGCACTCAATTTGGATTCAGTAGGAGAATTTTACATGTCAAGACGATTAACCATCTGCTCAGCTAACAATGGTTAAATAATCAAGTTTAACTGCCTTGAGTTTTTTTTTTATTTGCAAAGTTTTACCTTTGATGCCTGATTCTTAATTATTTGTCTGTTTCCCGAAAACGTTTATATAGCGTTTCCTTTCATTTAAAAGCTATGGTTGTGTTAAATAATAATGTTAAAGTTAGATCTACCTGTTAAATTAAATTCATATTTTTTTTCCAGGATTTTTGATATTAAGAGTGAAATGATGGTGCGCAGTCTGTCACTACACCTGCTAACAGTTGGCTAACTTCAAATCACTTATCTCCATTGGACTGCGTTAGCTTCGAGCTAGCAGCTGTTAGCACTCAGTATTAGCCGCTATCTGGAACATTTTTTTTACATTTTTTTTTTATTAAAATTGTTTTCACGTTTTGGCTCAACATATCAACACAAAAGCGGTGATACTAAAACGCATAAAGGAGGAAATTATATGTTATGCTATATGTGCTTCCACGGCATTAGCATGCTAATGCTAAGGCTGGATAACGGCATCCTCCCGGCCTGTGTTACCGTTCTGACAGGGGGGCGCAGCTCCACCGTTCGGCGTTGAGTTCTGGCTGTAGCCCGCTGTACTGTCCAGGTTCGTCAACCCCGGCGCAGACATTGCGCGGTTCTCCCGTTCTCACGCCAGCGAACACAAGGGTGAGCACACACACATGAGGGGCAGTGTCCCAAAGCCTCCCCCTCCCACCGAGGAGATAGAGGCCGCTGATGGTCGGTGAAGACCCGGGCAGCCAAGCCAGGGAGGTCCGCTCAATATGGGCTCTAAAACCTCCAGGATGCTGAACAGCTTAGCTGACACCTGCTAGTTTTCATGTCGCCCCCTCTGCTGGAGTTTCGACGCATGTGTTCATTTTTTCTGTGATGCTTGGGTTGACATTATTGCTCACAATTCAAATTTAAATCAAACAATTCAAAACTAACAAAAAAATTACTTCTTACATTTTTGAAAAAATAAATAAATAAATAAAATAAAATCCAGATCCCTAAAATAGACTTTAAAAAATATGAAATAACCAGGTAATCCCTATTTGCCTAACAAATACTTTCTACTTTTAATTCTTCATATTCAAATTATATTCCTGAAAAAATTTGTGTTCTAACTATAAGGGTCTACCAAACACATAAAGACTTAAATAATGGAAAGAGTCCTTAAAGAATATAAATCTGGATAATAAACAGAAGTTAAAGAAGAGGAACATGACAAAGATTGCAAAATACTGATTTATTTTTGCCTCATGGCAGTGAAGTTTATCAGACTGTCAGTCAATAGAAATGAGAATACAGCAATCTCAATTGTTTTAACTTCTCTTTATGTTTCAATCCCTTTTAAATAGTTTGAACAGTTTATAAAATGAGACACAAAACAATTGTTCAACACAAATGCTTCAGTTTTAGTGGATGTGATTCTCTGGCAAATGATAAATACAAAAATGATAAATGTTTAAATCAAATCATTAAACTAATGGACCTTTTCTCTTTTCTTTGGCTTGTGTTAGATATTACAACAGTATGTTTAGCTTGATAAAGTCTTTAATTGCTTTCATTGGCTTTTTTTATTTACAAAAGGTGTCATTTATGTTTATTAAAAAAACAAAACAAAAAATTTCCAATCATTTTCCTGCTTGCTTTTGTGTTCTCACCTGCTACAAAGAACGGCACCAACCGAAACTAACTGTAACTTACAAGAGGTTTAGGTCATGAGCCTAAAGTTGAGGTTTTAACTATGTCAGCCACCTTTTACCATTTGAAAAAACCCTCTAGTAAAAGGATTTTAGCAGTATTTAATGAGAGAGATCATCAAATTTCTCCATACTATTATCAATGTACAAAATGACATCCCTTACTTTTGTGTTTCTAAATCGATCCTCTATTTGGGTTAGAAAACTGCATTTTCAAGTCCCAGAGAGGCGTTGCTGGTTGTGGTTTGTTTTAGGAACACCTGCAGCTTCGCTAACTGACAAATTAAGCATTTGCAAGGCTTGCAAAGCACATAGAGTCTGTGAAAAGTTCTACACATTTTTGTCATAAATCACAGTCATATGTAAACAACCTTTATATTTTCAGAGTTCACTTATTTAGAAACAAAATAGCAATGCATTTGTATGTCTTTATATTTACACAAAAAGATGAGAATACAATCTGTAGGTCCAGGAGGCACTGCTGTTCAGCTTTCTGATAAGATGAATAAAAGACTTCAGTCATTAATAACTTTAAAATGGTCTTTTTTTTTTTGTCCCTTTTCTCATACTATTTCAAAAATTCCAATAAAATCTGCAAATAATTTTCCATAGCTTTCATTGCATCACTGGACTGATCAAGACTCATTAAAGTGAGTTTTTAATTCATTTGACATCCTGAGGGATTCTGGCCCTCGTGTCGGTGCACTCGCACTCCTCTTTGGGAGGCTGGGTGTCAGAGGCTCTCTTGTGCTGAGTGTTTCCTTTAGCTTGGCAGGAAGGGCAGCAGGCGGTGAATCCTTTCTTTCTACAGCTGGGACAGGATAACACCAGCTGGTAGCAGAACTGGGTGCTGCAAAGCTCATACTGATCCCATGGAAGGCCACAGTATCTGCAATCTGAGGAAAGACAACAGGGCTAAAAATAATGTACTAGAAAATATTGATTTGTAGCTTTTTGATTAAAGATACAGTGGAGGATTTTCTTTTTCCAGCTGGATCATTTAAATAAGTGGTCCTTCTAATTCTCAATCATTCTGGTATGTTTAGGTAAGGCCTTCCTACGTGCGTAAACAGTTAGCTAACTTTTTCTCTGCACTTTCAGGCGTATATCTGTGGTGAGCTACGGTTTCAGATAGTCATTGAAGTTTGCCTTTCTCACCACGGTTCTTTGAAAATGGCAGAGGGTCACAAGAGAAAAAGTGTCTACAATGTGTAGGAGAAGAAAAGAAATGCCTCAGAAGAGACAGATATATGCTTTGTGCAGAGAACTCTCCACGCAAAGCATCATGGGATTTGCTGTCACTGCAGCCCGCCGTCGCCATAGCTTGTCTCTACCCGACAGCGGCAACTAATAACAAAGATGGCGCAGGTACCGCGCAGTGGAGGAGGAGGTGAGTGACCAACAAAAAGCAAAAAGTAGTGATCTTCTGTCCGAATGGTCAGTTAACTGAGTTCTCTAGAAAGTCCACTATATACATTAGTAGCCATTCAAAATTTCCCCCACTTTCCTTGATGGGCCCTTTGCGGGTCTGTGGCTGGTGCCATATAATTCCTTTTTAAACGTCAATATTTGTACTAAAATATTCTATCTTTCATGATTTGTGGACATTAAGATCTAAAGAGAAGCACCATCTCCTGGTCAGACCCTGTAATTCAGTGAAAGGGTGGAGTTAGATTAAAAAACTATGCAAGAAGGGGTCAGTCCAGTGGCCTGAAGTTGGAGGGGATTTGGGAGCTGGAGGGAGTAGGCTGCCATTCGTCTGGCGTTCGACTGGGAAGGGCCATTTTGAATGGCTGCTACTGTAATCCCCGCTCTATATAGTGATTGAGGGATTCAGGGGTTAGAGCGAACGTTTGAACACATTAAGCTTTTATGAGCTATGAGAACAGCAACTTTTAAACAGAACATGCATGAGGAGAAATGGGCTCATCCATGCTCTTGCACGAATTTAATAGGCGTTCCCTCTCGGTACTAGCCTGACGTAGTCCTACTCAATTCTAGTCAGAATATGAGTCTGATACTGCTCCATAGAGCTGTGATTATGGGGCGTGTTTCGAACGAACCAGGAAAAAAAATGCCTCTGCACTCAATTGGATAGACCTACAACCAATAAGAGCAACGGAGTGCGTGACGTATGTTAAGCGATGCATAGTTGTTGTCAACAAAAATCAAAGCGTGCAGTTGCACGCCTAGACTAAGAAGATGAGACTTGATCGCGTTTCTCTGTTCCTCTTTTAAAATTAATTTGCTGTCGATATCTTCTAGAACAGACCTAATAGCAGAATCTACTCACCTCAACTCTCCGGCGGCAGCCATTGTTGTTGTCACCCAAGCGCGCTTTGGTCACATGGTTGATTACGTTACTGTTGGTCATCTGTCCATCATCGTATAAAGCCCGCCCTGACAATTTGATTGGATCGCCAGAGGGTGGGCGATCATACTCGCGCTACTATGGAGCAGAGCCAGACCGAACTTCCCGACCTCAAACCTTGTGGGCGGGACTAAGTTCGGACTGGCACCCAGGCTATCTCGGTACATGGTAGTGGGTCTTCAAAAACTTGCAAAAATCCTCCACTATACCTTTAATACAAGTATTTCTTTCAAGCCTAATGAATTAGGCTATGTAATTCATTTACATACTGACCTGAGATGACATCATCGTTTGAGGAGATAGTGTAGCGCTCATCAAACACAAAAAGTTTCCCTCGATAAAAGCCATCAGGAAAGCACTCCAAGTACTTGTGGATTCCACCTTTCAGCTGGTAAACTTCTTTACATACATCCTGCATAATAAAACAGTAGTTTCACTTGTTAGATATTACCAAAACAAACTGTTATCAAGGTTGATACTCTTAAAAACATGAATTCCAATCACACTGTGACTGAACAGCTCTTTATTTTAATAATAAGTTTTTAGGAAGTTGGAACACAACCATCAAATTTAAGGGTTTAAATTATTTTTTTTCCACTTTTCTGTTACTACAGGTCCATCCAGTGATGCCGATTATTTTGACCTCAGTCGTTAAGTGCTGCCAATTTTTGGGGGCTGATTCTTTGGGCAGATATTGCTTTCTCTTCCTCCACCAGATAAAAATGGTAAAATATGTTACACAATTTTAGATGATTTAAACAAAAGCAAATATCTATTTAATTGAAGGCAACATATTAATACTAGTTACTAAATGGAGGGACCAGCAATGCATGTGCTTCTCAATGCAATGGTTCTCAAACTCTTCCTGCCCTTTAGACTAGTATGATAAATCCATCATTTTTTTTACTACCTCTAATAATTGGTGATTTATTCAGTTCATTTCTACTCAGAAGGCATGAAAAGGTTACCACTTTTAAAAGTTTGGTTTGGATAGCTTTAGCATTAGCGGACCTGGCAACCAGCTGGCAAACAATACAGAAAGGGAGCAGGAAAGTGTGCAAATTCAACAATTAAATGTAAAAATACATAAAGCAAAAAGTGCTCTAGGTTCTTTAATCAAGTAGAAGTAAAGGGAAGATTATATTATCTCCATTAATACATGAAATCACTTTTAGAAAATGGCAGTTTAAAGAGACGAATTGATGGGAATGCTTTTGGACTGCAAGATGATATTCAATACCTCAAGAGGACCAATGCAAGAAGCTAGACTGGAATGCAAACCCAGGACTTTCTTGCTACAAGACCACAAACCACAGCACAGAACCACCTGTTGGAAATAAAACTTTATTTTCTTTCTTTTTTTTTTAACCTGACGATTTCTAAAGTATAACTCTAGAATAGATTGAAGATGTACTTTCTTTTTCCCATGACTATATGGATCCATATATGACTATATCCATCCATCTAAATTTTCTTCCGCCTTATCCGGGGTCAGGTCGTGGAGGCTCATTTTGATCGCTTGTATTTGCGATCTTGTCCTTTCAGTCATTACCCAGATCTCATCCCATAGGTGAGGGTGGGAGTGTAGGTCGATCTGTAAATCGAGAGCTGTGCCCCCCCCTCCCCGACTCAGCTCCCTCTTCACCATGACAGTCCTATACAGCGACCGCAACACTGCTGACGCTGCACTAATCCATCTATCGATCTCACCATCCGTCCACCTCTTCAGGGAGGACCGTGGCCTCGGATTTGGAGGCGCTGATCCTCATCCCGGCCGCTCCACATTCGGCTGCACACCGCCCCAGTGCACTTCAAAGGTCCATAGGCCGTTTCTCAATTCACAAGAATGCGAGTACGGACCCATATCCTCATCAAGTGTTTTCTTGTTTGGAACACAGGAAAATATGGACTCAGCGAGAACGGGAGCACGCAGCATAAAACTGGGTCAATTGGAACAGAACCGTACTGATGACATCGCCACATTCAAAGCTAGTCTGGAGCTGCATTTCACCTCCTCGTATTAATAGTCTCTAGATAATAATAAATAATGACCTTTTCATTTGTTGGGGGAATAATTATTAAAACAGTATGATAAACCCAAATTAAATGAACATTTTGCCAAATAAAACAAAAACTTGGTGCTTTCATTGCGTCTGCAGCAGCCATCATAGCCAGTGGTCCTTCACACACGGCTATGCAGAGAGAAGGCTGCTGCAGACGGGCTGCAGTTAGCCCTGGCTGCCGTTACCCTCGGACTCAACTTTGGAAGTTTTTTTAAATTCCGCATCAAATGGGTAAATGGGCCATATAACGACACTTAAAAGTTTAATGTTCATAAAACGTACATAAAGGTAACTTTTAACTTAATACTCTAAGCTCTGTGAGCGCTCCATTGGAAGCTGCTCCCGCAGTGCATGCTGGGATAGCAGTCAATCTCAAGAACGGGCAAGTCTGCTCTGATGCATGCTGGGTAAATAGGGAGGGGCGAGAACAACATCAGGGGACTTTGCCCGTTCTCCGTCTTGTGTTCTTGTGAATTGGAACAGTACTAGGGTCCATAAATGTAATGAACAGAACCGGTGACAAAAATAAAGAACATGTGACCAAGGCGGAGACCAACATGCACTGGGTACAGATCTGACTTAATGCCTGCAACTTTCTTTTTCTCATCATTATATGAGGAATAAAGAAACAAAAAACAAAAAAAAACAAAAAAAAAACTAAGGCCTAAAAAAACAAAAGAAGCCTGAGTAAAATGAAGATTTAGCTTACTTTGGAGCGGAGGTAGGCGGAGCCACGCTCACAGCGGATTCCTCCTGTGCAGTACATCAGGACCTTTTTGTCCCGGAATAGGTCCAAATTCTGATCCACGTAGTCCGGGAAATAACTGAACTTGCGGATGTTTGGGGCCAGACACTGAGTAAACTGGCCCTGATGGGAAAAAATTATAATATTAACCAAATCTGCTTTTACATAAGTTCAATAAATTTTTGTTTGTTTGACTGATCTAAGGTTGGCTTCTCTAAATTATATAAGAGGTTAGTTTATAAATTACATTAATAATTAGGAATAAAATCAAAACTTCTACATATCTGAACACCACTTGGGTCGTTTTCTAGAGTGCTTTCACTTCCTTCAGTAAATGTTTTGCTTAAAATGCTCCACAATGAATGAAATCCATACTTACAATTTTACTCTCGTAAAAGTTGCGGCAGTCTAAGAGGATGGTGTCTTTAGTCGAATCCCCTTCAGCCAAGAGGGCTTCCACCTCCTTATGAAACTCTTCAGGCTCCAGATGAACTCCTGGAAAACCAACATTCCTGCATTTTTCATGGACCTTTAGCAGTTCTCTCCCTCGTCTTCCATCCAGTAACCCCCCATTTTTAGAGGCAGGGCTTTCTGTTAAATGTGACATTTAACTTTGTACCAGTTCTGCACAATAAAACTGTAACAGTATGTATCATGATAGACACCTCATTAATATTAGGAGGGTAAAAACATCAATTAAAATGATTGTTTATCCAATTACATCAATGCAACGTTAAAAATATCAATCCACGTCATCATCTCTAGGATACGCTAGCTTTAGCCTTGCTGTGTCAGAATGTGAACAGCTGATCTGTAACGGCTCTTTAATTTAGAAGAATGTTGTTTTTAATTTGAATACCTGAGTTGTGATATAGATGGAAATGATTGTGAGATGAGTAAATTATATTGTACCGGAATCAAAAATTGCAAAAACTATTGGGAGATATGATATCATTAAAACACATTAGAATGAAACGGTATTATGATATAGCTGGTTATCTACTAATCAGTCTGGGAGGAAAGGTTTTGGCCTCTCAGCATCTCATGGCCAAGCTAAGCAAGGCTGGTGGTGGGGGAAATCTCTTTTAAAGGTTAAATGACACATTTAAACCGAGTTAGGGTTCAAATTTGGCCTTTTTTCTCTCGCTTCTTGCTTCAAATACTTCAAAATAAAAATACAAAAAAGTTATCGATATGGATTGATATGAAGAGCTATTATTTTATTACATTCTTGATCGCACAACCCTTCTTTGACCTGTGAATTATCTAAAGCAACACGACCTATGACTTCCAGGTTTAGCATCACTAAAGGCCACTGGCAACACTGCACTGTTGCATCAATACATGCTCTGCTGTGCATTGACCTACAAAAATGCTTTAATAAATCTCAAATTAAACTAATACTTGGGGAAAAAGTTACAAAGTGTTGCTTTGAGAATGAAAAATACAAATACACTTCTGGCATAAAGCAGTATTTTCTGCACAGTCTAGAGACAAGAGCTTCCAAATGATATATTCAGGCTTTTATCAGTTAGAGCTCCTCTGTATGTTTTCTCTCTTTGAACCTATTGGCATATTTGTAAAATAGAAAAAGGATAAAGGATGGGTGTGAAATAGTTTTTTTGCAAGAATACGATATTTTAAAAATCTTGACATGCTTTGTATAACAAACCAGAATGTTTCTTTTTTTACGCTTTGTTTTTCTTGTCCCGGCATCGGTCGGTACGTGCATACTTTCACTGATTTTACACGCGCCTTCAGCAGCCATGCCTTAAAGTCAGGTGAAGTGCATTCATTTCTGCTCCCTACATTTGCAATAAATTATCAATGTTTTGTTTGACCTGTTTTTTCTTTCTATTTTGATAAAAAGGAAGTAAAAGCAATATCGGCCGGTCAAGTATGTCAAAATAATCAGCCATCAAACAAAGTGTCTCTAATACATAAACTGTCATATTTTGTTGTAGAGAGCAGTTTGTGATGGCTCCATTAAAAATAAATAAACGATGACAACATTAAATCAGAATTGGATCAGAAGTCAGAAAATGTGAATCGTTGCATCACTAATAGCAACAGCTGATTTACTGAAATAAAATCATTAAAAAAAAATGATCAGAACCTGCAAGCTTGTAGGAAACAACATCTGGATCCACACCCATAGGGACAATCTCCTTATAGACTCCGACTTTCAAGTCTGTAAAACACTCCGCCCCTCCATCGCTGGTCTAAATAAAGAGGAAAAAATATTTAATACAGCAAGGCTTGTATTAGAAAATAAAGTCTTTAAATCCTATCTGAGCTTAAAGAAATGTCGGTAAGATCTCAACTGTGTAGCTTCAAAACTCTACATCATCATTTTCCAGCCTCCTCTGACCTTAAAGTCCTCCGGATCCATCTTGAAGACAGGGTGTGAGAGCATTGCTCGAATGTAAATATCAGTGGCCACATTGGTACCTCCAACTGTCCCATTGATGCCTTCTGCTGCCACCCTTATCTGAGGAAAAGGAACAGTAGGAATTAATTTTTTAATCAGCATTTGAACATTCTGAGGCAGTGCTACAGAGGTCTAGTTCCATCACCTTGCCTGTCAGGTGGAGCTGCTCACATAAAGCTTTCTGCCAAGCACAGACAGCATGGGGATCATCCACTTGACAGTAGTGATAATAGAGAAGAACTTTCCCAGGGCCGCTACAAATAAACAAGAGGTAAACATTCAGAACAAATCTAACAGGACAAAACCCAGATAGTATTACAGTTAGAATCAGGAAAATATCTAATGTTTACATCCTCAGTTGCTCCTCAGTGACTTGGCTGATATCTGGTATCCATTCAGAAATGTCGGCTACTTCTGCCTGGAGTCTGTTTGCCAGATGTGTTTCTGCCTCTTCCTCCAGCTGTTTTATCAGATGCTCATATGCAACCTGTGTTAGCTGCTGTACCTCATCATTATGACTTTTAGCCACGTGCTTGTGAATGGCAGAGTGTTCACTGAAGGTCTGGTCACAGCAGCACCAAGAGGCACTTCCTTTATCAGCAGAGCCATCCTTCACGGACGCGACGAAGGCGGCAAAGGACTGTGGGAGAAAAAAAACAAAACAACCCAAAATGGGGCAAAGCAGATGTTTTCAAATGAAATCCTTAAATAGGTCCGATGTATTGAAAAGGCTAATCAATGAAACTACTGTGAAGGCCAGATTTTAACTATGAAATAAGTGTTTTGTTTTTTTTCTTTTGTAAACATTTGTTTACATTAAATGTAAAAGGTTCATTAATGTAATTACAAAAAAAACCTTTTATATTTTCTGAAGATCTTAATTAATGAATATATAAAATGTATGAGAGAAATCAAATTTGCTGTCTTGACCCATGTTCTTCCCTCCCTCATGGAAACGAGAAGATTAGAGCAACAATTATTACATACAAACAGAAACATTCCCACAACCCCAAATCCCCCACAACAGAAAAAGTTCCAACAATAATGGTTTTATCTGTTTTTCAAAAGATTAGCCCAACTTGTTTTAGTATTCTACTTTGTTCAGAAAATACAAACTCAAATGTATACCGGTAGCTCAAAGTGAAATAGTCAGGTATACAAATAAAAAAAAGTTATTTCAGGACACTCCAGAAGACCAACTGCAACTATAGTTCACCCCCAGCACCCTCCTTATCTATGTTTTCTATATATTCCATAAAAGGACCCCAAATATTTTGAAATAGCAATAATTTCCCTTTTATAATGAAGGTAATCTTTTCCATTGGTAGGGTTGTGGATATTTCCTTAATCCAATTAATGAATTATGGTTTACTGGTGCTCTATGACTCTTTTTGCAAGTAATAGACATAAATCTATGACAGTAAGAATTTTTCTGCACATATGATGTCTCTTTTGGTATATTCTTACTGTAGGATAAAAAAATTAGAATCAAAAATTTGTTTTAACCCTAATATAGTCTCTATATAATCCCTAATATGGTCTCCCTGGTTTAATCTCTAAGCTCCAAAATTGTACTACTTTCTTGCACTTCCAGATACACTGTATAAAACACAGTACTATAACAGATTTATTTTTAAAATTATGATATTATTTTGTGTATAATTAAAAATGAAACTTGCTTCTTCATTGCAATGGGTTGTCTATGCTTATAGAACAATAATAATTTTAAAATAACATCTTAATAATTGCAGACATCCTATATAGTTGACTCGTATAATTGTTTCAAATTAAAATACCGTAATACTTATAAATATTTGTCCCTTGAAAATGTATCTTCATCACAATGATCACTGTAACAACCAGATAGCACAGTCAATACTCCCACCTTCCTCCTACAGAGATTGTAGCATCTTCTCAGCGAAGCAGATAGTTGTTTCTCTTGTTTTAATCCGTTACGAGTTGAACTTTCTACCTCCCAGTTCATGAACTCGGAGCAGGGTGTTTCAACTGTCGCCATGATAGTTTTCTTTCTATAAAAGCTTTTAAATAATAATCGTTCGGGCAGATGTAGCTTCCATGCAAGGACACATCACTTCCGGCGCCTTGTTAATGTAACATTTTTTGATTGTGGTTACGTTTAGATAAATCTAGATTAATATTAAATGTGGCACCATGTCGGAGGACACATTTGTAAAGCGACGCGGCAGCCGGGTTACGGACACCGTCGGAGGAGAAAAGCAGACGGACTTTCCGGCTGAACCCGGAATGCCCCGGAAATGCTTCGCTTGAATTTGCCTGCTGTTATTTCCCTGCTGTGTGTAAAAGCCTCGATGCACTGAACTGCACAGGGCTAAAGGGCTGCTTGTTAACAGACTTTCTGTTTGTTTTTTTTATTGTTGTTTTCAATCGAGGGTCTTTTTGTGCATAGCAGGCGCTTGCAATAATGTCCAGGAGGCGACATAGCGATGAGAATGACGGTAAGTATGGACGTTCACTAAAGCCGTTATGCTAATAACGATAGCGCGTTTTTGCTACATTCACGCATGCTCATTTGCAGCTTATTTTATTCCAGTCGCCTACTTATTTACTTTACTAGACAATTTAATAAAATGTGAAACTGTTAATTTGTCCACTTCTCTGAGACATTTACTATTGAAGCGTTAGCTTCTACTAAGAGCCGCGGCGGATTATCCGCTCGTTACCGTTAGCTGTATGATGGCTACCCGCTGGAATATGAAATGAATACGGGGGCGGTAACTCGCTGTTTTTGTGTGAGTTCTGTGCATTTATAATGCTCAAAGGTCTTGGGCTGAAGTTTCATTGTTGAATTTCATTAGCAGTTTTGTTAGTGACAACAACAAGACTGAATGCTTGTGTCATATCTATCCAGCCATCACAATTTTATTAAAACAAAACGACTGCTGGTCTGTTGTTTTGACGTTCAAAGAAATGCAAATCGCGATAAAACCTCGTTAGTTGTTTCCCTAATTCGCAAAACTGTTAAAATCTATTATTCTGCGGGGTCTTTTCATTCATTCATTTAAAGCTAAAACAATTTACACCGTCCAGTCTACCAGTAACTGTACTGTTTTCGTACACCAGTGCAATAGAAAGACCCCAAAGTATTAAATCAAAGCACATCTCCCCCAAAAAGAGCAGCTTGTAAAAAAAAAAAAAAAAAAAAAGTGCAAATACAGCAGTAAAAAAGGCTTAATGAACTTTACCATCCAAACAGTTTTTGCTCAAATTGCACACCAGATCACGTAAATTAAATAACATCCTGAAAACCCTGCAAAAGAGCATTAGTGGAAAGTAAAGGAAACAAATATAAAAACACACACCCCCACAGTGCCAGTGGGTGGCAAGTGTCAAAAGGTTTACTATTTTTAGCCCAAAAAAAAGCATGTTAAGTTTTTCTGGCTTTAACAGGGAAAAATGGGGACTTACAACTTTTCAGGCAGTGCTGAAAACCCGTTCCGACAGCGAGCTTGTGGCTCAGATGCACAGGAACTTTCTGCCCTCTTGTGTGGAAAACACCTGGCAGCACATTTCCACCACATAACTGGATCTTGGTCAACTTGGATAACAAATTTCAAACAGTAGGCTGTTATTCCAGCTCTGACACTGTCTAATCTCTAAGCTTATGATGGGACCTGTTACTACATTGTTCCTTCTGGAGACTTCCCAGAGTCACCTCTTTTCGTGGGGATTTCAGTTGCGCCACTGACTTCCATTCTGATTATCACTGGACTAACTGCAAAATATTTTTTAGGCAGTAATTTAATTATATTTTATGTTTAATCAATATCTCCTAAAGAAGCACTAGGGCTGAACAATTTTGCAAAAAATCTAAATTGTGATTATTTTTAACCAGTATTGCGATGCAATTTTTGTTTATCCTTTGCACTAACTACAAGCTTGTAGATGTTTCACCCCAGGCTTTCAGTATTCTTAAATTGCGATTATATTGCAAACGCAATTAATTGCCAAGCCCTAATAAGCACACTGTATGTTTTGATAATGGTAAAGAGTCAAGACTGTAAAGAATTGATACCATTGCTTTTTAAAGATACTGCAGATATACCTTATTTCTGCCCAACCCTACTAACCATATCCCCTAGATTGGGAAAGTTTTTGCTTCTACTGAAACAAATGTCCTGTAAAGCAGTTTTTTTTATTGGATTATTAATATACTATTAAAGCAAACTTACCAGATAACTTAAATAGCAAAATACGTATTAGTTGCAGCCCTACTAAAAAAATACAGCTAAAATAAATTCCTTACATTTGGTGTTACTGCATCTATTTATGGTGATTAAATTAGTTCAGTGCATGCATTTATTTACAGTCAACATAATGTCAAAGTAAAGACATAAAGGGTTTCTGTTAATGTTTTTCGATTAAAAGTCAAACAATCATATAAATTCAGATGTTAAAGATTAAGAATTTATTCTTTTTAAACACGTGAACATTTTGGTCAGATCGTTTTTTTTTAGCTGTTACCTGTAGTTAATGGCGGTTGCAGGGACAGTAGAATTTTTTTTTTTATCAGTCTTTGGTTATGTGTATCAATCTTTGGGAATAAAAATGAGAATAGATTCAGAATTAGATTTTTTTTTTTTTTTTTTTTTTTTTTAAACAAACCCTAGTTCTTTGTATAGTACAAACGTTTTTGTGTGTGTGCAAATCAAAATAGGTTAGGAAAAATAGGCTCAGTGTAAAATTATTTTTGTTTCTTGAAAAATCATTATGTATAGAAATTTTTTTTCTTTTCTTTACATAAGAGGCGTTCACATTACAGTGAAAAAGATGGGGTTTAGAGTCTATCCTCAAATGATAGATATTTACCCACTTACCGGTAGTCCAGTTTTAAGTGCACCAGATCAGCTAAATTTTTGTACGCAGACTTACAAAACTCAATAAATCCATTCACATGTAAAGGTTAGAACCATCACAATAAACAATAGATACATTTTTTGCATGATACATTTAAAAAAGCTCAATTATTTCAGACTTGTTTTCCTTGCCATCTTCCTCTCGTTCAAAATGTTTGCGCTCACCCCCTCCCATTATTTCCTTGGTGCAGCCAGCCTGGGGTCATGACTGACGAGCAGCAAGCCAGAAAAATTCTGGATGAGATTTGGGAGGGGAAAAAAAGACACGGAAATGCTTTCAAAGTTGAACGTGACGGCTACAGTTTAGGAACACTTTGGTTTTAAACCCAATGACAACACATCATTTATCGCAGCAACTTCTGCAATAATTTTTCTTCCAGCAAAATTTGTTATTGTGACAGGCCTAGTTCAGCTTTTGATCTTATGTTTTAGTTAGGATTTATTTATATTCTGTACCTTGTTCGACAAGTTAGAAAAAAAGTTTGTTTTGGTTTCTTTTGCTTTACTGAGTGAAAAAAAAATATATATTTTTTTCTTTACTTTCATGCTCGGTCATAGATAACATGTTGTAATTTATTTGAGCTTAAATTAGTTATCTGTTACTTAGAAAAATATTTTTTTTGATACATGCCAAATAAAAGCGTGTATGAAATTTGATTGATCTAAATGTGAATCTTCTATCGGATGTATACAGATAATTAACTTGCAATTAATTGTCAGTTAATGCTTTATGATTAAATTAAAATTGTATTTCATCTGATTAATTGACATCTGCTTAGAATTTCTTTTTGTTGTAGTGTTTCCGTCGTCCACTGGTGGGCGTTTATTCCTAAGTAAAACCTTACTGGTATTTGCAAGAGAAGTAATGCTAAGGTGGCGGTATGGCAGAGCAGAAACATGAATCGATCCACACTCCAGTCTGGGATTATTTATTCTGATTAATGACTAAAAGGATGCGGGCTGCTCTTTGTTCAATAAACACTTGATAAACTTTTTTAGGTATCACCTAAATAGTCGCCATTTAGTAGTGCTGCATGGCGGAGCAGAATCAAATTCTCTGCTGTTTGTAAGGATTATACAAAGGTGGAGGTCGATGAGGAATTCTTTTATGTACTCATTCATATAGTCTCTTTTATCATGTAAAAATAAAACATTTGATACAGCTGGTACAATAATAAAATCTTCAACCCCTCATGTTCTAGAAATATTCTGATAGAAAAGAAAAGTTGGTTATTAACAAACTATCTGCTTATCAGTTATTTGTTTTTTGATCAATAAGGTCAGTCGATTTCAGATTAATTGATTATTCGATAATGAGCTCCTTAGTTTTAGTACATCACAGAATTTAATCGCTTTTCCTTTTCATTTTTCCTTATGTTTTCCTCTCTGACCTACCAGGGGGCCAAGCTCATAAAAGGAGAAGAACATCTGAGCCCATTGAGATTGAAGATCGCCTGGAATCTCTAATATGTCGTGTAGGAGAAAAGGTATGAAAGCTGAACAATGGATTCAACCTCTTTCTGTTGAATCTATGAAAATATGATCTACATAATGTCTTCATTTATCATTCAGTTTTTCCTTTTCTGCTGTATTATTAAAATAGAAAAAATGTGGGGGGTTTTTTTCACTGATCTTTTGTGTTATTGATCTCCAGAGTACTTCTTCTCTTGAGAGCAACCTCGAGGGTCTGGCAGGCGTCCTGGAGGCTGATCTTCCAAATTATAAAAACAAAATCCTGCGCATTCTGTGTTCTGTGTAAGTTTCTAACAACTTATTGAGTGGTTGATAAAGCTGTTTTCAGAGCGTTGCTTTCACTGATGGGTCATTCATCATCAGCGCTCGCCTGCTGCCGGAGAAGCTCACCGTGTACACTACTTTGGTCGGCCTCCTCAACGCCAGAAACTACAACTTTGGTGGCGAGTTTGTGGAGGCGATGATCAGGCAGCTGAAGGAGACCTTGAAAAACAACTTGTACAATGAAGCAGTTTACTTGGTACTTTTCTGATTGAAGAGTCTCTTTTGTTTTGGGTCTTTTCTTGGGATAATTAATTTCCCTTCCTTCCTCAGGTGCGCTTTCTGTCTGATTTGGTCAACTGTCATGTCATCGCTGCTCCATCCATGGTGGTACTGTTTGAAAATTTTGTCAGTGTTACCCAGGAGGAAGACGTCCCACAGGTATCAGTGTTCAAATATGTTAAGATTTTTCCTCTAGTTTAATTTATTTCAGAAATCTGCCATGGAAAAGTATTCAGTTTTGTATTTTTTTTCATTTTTCCTAAATTATTTTATTCTAAAGGGATGATGTAGTTGCATCTTGTACCTCTTTTCTATCCCAGGTTCGGTCGGACTGGTTTGTCTATGTCGTCTTGTCCTGCCTTCCTTGGGTCGGTAAGGAGCTTTATGAGAAGAAGGACGTAGAGATGGACCGGCTCCTCGGACAGATTGAAGGCTACCTCAAGTGTGTTACTTGCCTTTAGGTTTTTCATGCTGTTTCTGATTTGGTTTCTTAGCTTAAGTAAGTCAACATTGCTTTTTCATATTTCTAGGAGGAGGGTGAAGACTCATGTCCCCATGCTGCAGGTGTGGACAGCAGAGAAGCCCCATCCACAGGAGGAGGTGAGAGTGCCTCACTCTGGTTATATTATTCCTTTGTTTTGTCATCAATCTAACTTGGTATTTTCCACACATAATCCTTCTGAAATAGTTTTTTTATATTAATGTTAAACCAATTTTTAGAGGTAATAAAATAATAAATCAAAAAATTCAGAGTATAATAGAGACGAGAGTGGTGGTAGCAAGGTAGGCTAATGTTAGCTCACTTCCACAAATGATGATGAATACCAAAATCCTGCTTTTTGATGCACACGATTGCAAGGCAATTTTATTTGTATAGCACAATTAAGTACATCGACAATTCAAAGTGCTTTACATGAACTGGATAGTAAAATAGAAGAAGAAGAAAAGCATGATGATGAAAACAAATAAAACAATTTGGCTATCAGCACACAATAACAGAGTCTCTTTGTGAAGAAAATGATTGCCAACGTAAATATGAAGGAGGTAGTTTGTGTGTGTTGATGTGTATTAAAATAAAACTCACACTCTGTTATAATCCCCTTTTAGTACCTGGACTGTCTGTGGGCCCAGATTCAGAAGCTGAAGAAAGACCGCTGGCAGGAGCGCCACATTCTTCGTCCATACATCGCTTTCGACAGCGTGCTCTGTGAGGCCCTGCAGCACAATCTGCCCCCCTTCACTCCGCCAGGACACATGCCTGACGCCCAGTACCCCATTCCCCGGGTCATCTTCCGCATGTTTGACTACACCGATGCCCCAGAGGTTCCTAAATATCTTCTGACATGATAGATCAGAGTCACACTTGGAGAGCTTAGTCTCAGACTCTTGGATACGAATACATAGGTTCCCATTTTTGTCCAACAATATCTGTTTTTCTCTATTAGGGTCCCGTCATGCCTGGCAGTCATTCTGTGGAGAGATTTGTGATCGAAGAGAATCTGCACTGTATTATGAAAACTCACTGGAGAGAAAGGAAAACCTGGTGGGTGATGAGCTTTGTTAGACGTTCATCACTCTATTCACAATCTGCCACTAAATCCTTGCTTTATTTTTGTTTGTTTTTTCACCTTCCAGTGCTGCCCAGTTACTCAGTTACCCTGGAAAGAATAAGATCCCACTTAACTATCACATCGTGGAGGTATTTCATCCCCCGGTTTCTCGTCAGTATATTAGTTAAACCTGTCCAGTTAAACAGAAGATTTTTATTTTTTGTTTGTTTCAGGTGATCTTTGGAGAACTTTTCCAGCTGCCAATGCCGCCCCAGATCGATGTTATGTACACCACACTTCTCATTGAACTCTGCAAACTGCAGCCGGGGTCGCTCCCTCAAGTTGTATCCTTCATCACTCTCGCTGCAAGAAATATTTTCTTCTCCTGCAGAAAGATTGTATTGACATGTGGTAATAATGGACACGTTGCTTAGCGTCAATACTCTTTGTTGTGGGTTTTAGATCTGCTTCTGTCACTTTGAAATTCATGGCAGCATCATTAATAAACACTCTTTTCACCTGGCCTTTGAGTTCACGGGGATAATCTAGGAAGATTTGCAGTTGTGCTATACCGGTTCCATGTTTAAACATTAGCCACTAATTTTGGTTGAGAATTGATAAGATTTTCACTATTCTGATTCCCTTATCGATTCTGTGAAACGCTTCGACTCTATCGATTTCATTTAATGAAAAAGCATTACTGTATAATTTCGGGAAATGAACTCATCTCCCCCGATTTAAATAAACGAGCGCCACCTTTCACTCCCTGAACTGCGGAGCAACTTCTTGGCAGGTTTCGTCACATCCTTTGCAATAGCTAGAATCATGTAAGAATTCCAGCTACCAGTAGTTCTAATTAAACATGCTAGCAATGAAGGGCTGGATTAACTAGAAAGGCACACTCCTTTTATAACCCCAAAAAGAGGTAGGAAATTGGTTTGATTTATTAGGAATCACATTAAGCACAGCCAGTGATGTAAAACTAGCTACTTACCACCACAGTTGCCTTCCATACTGGTCGTAACTCTAGCTTCTGTACGGAAGCATCAGAAACACGACATTCGTTAAAATGTATGCCATGTTGTCTTCGCAGGTGTTTCTGCATGTTGGATGGATTTTCCACTTTGCAATGATTGCAAAGTGCCTTGTTGCCATCTTTCTCTTCCTTAAAATGAAGCCAAACGTTTGATCTCTACCTGATGGGGCGCCATTCTGAAAAGGAACCGGTTTTCGATTCCCATCCCTACCAGTAATATGTTCAAACTTCACATCTCGTTTTTTTTTTTTTTTTTTATCTTCTCGGTAGCTATTTTTCCCTCTATTTTATAAGGTTTTATGGTCACCTGCCACATTATGGTTAAAAATTCTCAAACAATGTACAATATCGGTCTCTAAAATTCTAACAGTATTTAAATAATTTTAATATTATTATTATTATATTTTTACCCTTATATAAGAATACTTTAGACATTCTGAGAGCTTCCTTTTGCATTTAGGGGAAGGAAACTACGTGGTAGTGCCAGGCATTTAACTGCATTTGTAAAATAACCCCAATTTATAATATAATCGTAAACATAATACTTTTGTAAACTGTCTTCCTGCTCAAACAAATGGAAAATAGACTTATTATAAGAAAAATTGACCTACTTAAATTTCTTTCTTTTTTTTTTTTTTTCTGTTTGCCTCGCTGGACTCTGAACAAGAAAGCTTTAAGGTCCTAATAAAAATTAAACCCTGTTGTGAAAAAAATGTTGAGCTTGTATTTAGGGCTGCAACTAACAATAATTTTGCAAATCCATCAACCTGTCTCTTTTCGATTAATCGATTAATAAACGTATAGCAAAAGGTTCATTTTTTAATCTTAAATGCAAAAGGTTTACATATTTCTTTTACAGTTTTTGTGTAATTACTGCTAAATGTGGGTCGCTCTGTCAGCTGAAGGAATGTTTTAGAGTCTATACTCCAGGTAATTGATAACTAAATCATTTTCCGATTATTTCAATAATCGATTAATAAGATTGTTTCAGTGCTACTTGTATTTATTACAAAGGAAAATCAAAATAAAATCTCTGTGTTTGTTGAAAATACCTTAACGTGTTGCTGATAGCTGGCCCAGGCCACAGAGATGCTTTACATGAGACTGGATACAATGAACACCACCTGCATAGACAGGTGACGATACTGAAACATCTCACTGAAATGTTTGTTCTTTGTTCCCATGTCAACCATAACCTCATTGCTCCGTTTCCTTTGGTAGATTCATCAACTGGTTTGCCCATCATCTGAGCAATTTCCAGTTTCGATGGAGCTGGGATGACTGGTGAGCAATGTGTTGTCATTTAATCTTTCGAAAAATGTTTGGACTTTAGATTAAAATGTTGTTTGTTTTGTCTCTAAAGGGCGGATTGTTTGACTATGGATCTAGACAAACCGAAGCCCAAGTTTGTCAAAGAGGTTCTGGAGAAATCTATGAGGTATTAAGATATTATTTGTCTCCAGTTAGAGCAAGTCAAAGGAAAAAATGCTTTCTAGATTCCTGGTTCTTTTGTAGGTCTATCAGCAATTATTCCCTTAGCTCTAGTAGCCTTGTTTACTCTATCCTCTTCTTGCTGATGATGTGTTCTGTTGCTTTACTTACAGGCTTTCATACCATCAGAGGATCGTGGACATCGTCCCTCCAACTTTCTCGGCGCTCATCCCTGCTGATCCCATCTTTTCTTTCAAATATGATGACGAGAGTGGCTGTAAGGTTCTTCTCCTCTGTTTTATCTTTAATTCTTCTCTATCTGTCCTAATGAAAGCATCTGTCACTCTGTTTCCTCACAGCTTCTTTACCAGGTTACCCAGTTTCTGTTCTGGTTTCCAACGCTATAAAGAACCGAGCTTCCAACGAAGAAATCCTTACCATTCTCAAAGAAGTCCCCAACCCCAACCAGGAGGAGGATGATGGTTGGTTTTTGTTCTTACTTGATATTGCTTTGCTTGTTCTTGTTTGAACAATTTGAGTGTGATTTCTCTGAAGACTGGTTCTTTAGTGGAAAGCTATGAAAATATTTAAATTTTAGTAGTTCTGAACAAAATCTGCCTGTATGGGAAAGCCCTGACACATACAAAGTACATGACTGCAACTACAAGGGGGATTCATAAAGCTGACCTCATTGGTACAGTCTGGTTTCCTGATAAACCAGACTAAATGTGAGATTAAATGTGTAATTTAGTCTGGCCCCGATGAATGAGACATCGGAAGATTTGATGAGAACAACCCGTTGTTTTTCAAACCATGTCTATGTCTATTGGCCAACGCTATGACCAATGAGCGCAACTGACTTTGACGTAGTAAGTGCCACAGAAAGCTGGTGGGGAAGTGTAAACGAACAGCCTGTTGGTGAAGCGGCGAATATGTCCTTCTTAAAAATGAATGAGCGTAGAGACTCTTCCTGCTCACGTTTCAACGAAAACCCCAAGTCTTATCCTTCCAAAACTGATTCCAAAGCTGAGTCAAATGAGAAATGTTCAATAGTTGCTGCCATCTTCCTTGTTGTGCTTTCTCCAGTGTCTTGCAGCTTTTTCTTCCCACCCTCAAAACCCCGCCCGCTTTGCATCCAAAAATTCAAAACACATCTCTGAGTTGTGGTTGACCCGCCAGTTCTAGGACCTGGGACATCGGTCGAGGCTAGACCACTCACAGGCGAAAATTATTTTTGGCGGGTGGGGCTAGTTTACTAGGCTAGCAGTCTGACTCATTTTGTTGCTATTTGAGTTTCACAAAGCTGGGTCACTCAGTCTGTCTTGCTTACTCTGGTAAATGACCCAGTACAGTTATCCTGGTCAGAGCCAGGTTTAGAGGCTACTTACTTCAGTGTCTTCTTTGTTGAATCCAGCCCCAGGGGGCGCTGTCAGTGACAGACAGGGTGTTAAGGCTGGTTTATACTTCGAAACCAGGTCGTCTGCGTAGCTGTTGCGGTGAATGCAGAGGTGTCCCTGCCCCCTTACGCAGACACTCTGCTGCACCTCTCCCAAATTGTAGATGACCACAGACAGGAGGCCTCTGATTGGCCAAATCTATATCCGCTCTACACTATGCGTATTTCCTGTTTGGTACCTTACCGCCTTGTTTTGTTTATATGACTGGCATTGCAGAAAATGATTTGTGAGGATGCACCAGCTAGAAGAGCTAGGTGCGCGAGAACGCTGGGACCCTTTTTCCACCTGGATCTCCGCTCTTTTTCACTCTTATGTCCCTCTGTTGTCGCACAAGCTTGCCCCCATTTCCTCAACGCCTCGGCCGTACCTAGACCTACAGCTACCGTATTTTCACGACCATAAGGCGCACCGTACTAAAAGGCGCACTCTCTGTTATGTGTGCCATTTCTGTATTTAACACACACATAAGGCGCACCGGACTATAGGGCGCGTTTTTTATATACNGTCCTAATAAAAATGAAACCCTGTTGTGAAAAAAACGTTGAGCTTGTATTTAGGGCTGAAACTAACAATAATTTTGCAAATCCATCAACCTGTCTATTTTCGATTAATCGATTAATAAACGTATAGCAAAAGGTTCATTTTTTAATCTTAAATGCAAAAGGTTTACATATTTCTTTTACAGTTTTTGTGTAATTACTGCTAAATGTGGGTCGCTCTGTCAGCTGAAGGAATGTTTTAGAGTCTATACTCCAGGTAATTGATAACTAAATCATTTTCCGATTATTTCAATAATCGATTAATAAGATTGTTTCAGTGCTACTTGTATTTATTACAAAGGAAAATCAAAATAAAATCTCTGTGTTTGTTGAAAATACCTTAACGTGTTGCTGATAGCTGGCCCAGGCCACAGAGATGCTTTACATGAGACTGGATACAATGAACACCACCTGCATAGACAGGTGACGATACTGAAACATCTCACTGAAATGTTTGTTCTTTGTTCCCATGTCAACCATAACCTCATTGCTCCGTTTCCTTTGGTAGATTCATCAACTGGTTTGCCCATCATCTGAGCAATTTCCAGTTTCGATGGAGCTGGGATGACTGGTGAGCAATGTGTTGTCATTTAATCTTTCGAAAAATGTTTGGACTTTAGATTAAAATGTTGTTTGTTTTGTCTCTAAAGGGCGGATTGTTTGACTATGGATCTAGACAAACCGAAGCCCAAGTTTGTCAAAGAGGTTCTGGAGAAATCTATGAGGTATTAAGATATTATTTGTCTCCAGTTAGAGCAAGTCAAAGGAAAAAATGCTTTCTAGATTCCTGGTTCTTTTGTAGGTCTATCAGCAATTATTCCCTTAGCTCTAGTAGCCTTGTTTACTCTATCCTCTTCTTGCTGATGATGTGTTCTGTTGCTTTACTTACAGGCTTTCATACCATCAGAGGATCGTGGACATCGTCCCTCCAACTTTCTCGGCGCTCATCCCTGCTGATCCCATCTTTTCTTTCAAATATGATGACGAGAGTGGCTGTAAGGTTCTTCTCCTCTGTTTTATCTTTAATTCTTCTCTATCTGTCCTAATGAAAGCATCTGTCACTCTGTTTCCTCACAGCTTCTTTACCAGGTTACCCAGTTTCTGTTCTGGTTTCCAACGCTATAAAGAACCGAGCTTCCAACGAAGAAATCCTTACCATTCTCAAAGAAGTCCCCAACCCCAACCAGGAGGAGGATGATGGTTGGTTTTTGTTCTTACTTGATATTGCTTTGCTTGTTCTTGTTTGAACAATTTGAGTGTGATTTCTCTGAAGACTGGTTCTTTAGTGGAAAGCTATGAAAATATTTAAATTTTAGTAGTTCTGAACAAAATCTGCCTGTATGGGAAAGCCCTGACACATACAAAGTACATGACTGCAACTACAAGGTGGATTCATAAAGCTGGCCTCATTGGTACAGTTGCCTTTTAAACCAGACTAAATGTGAGATAAAATTTGTAATTTAGTCTGGCCCCAATGAATGAGACAACCTGTTGTTTTTCAAACCATGTCTGTGCCTATTGGCCAACGCTCTGACCAATGAGCGCAACTGACTGTGACGTAGTAAGCAGGACAGAAAGCTGGTGGGGCAGTGTAAACGAACAGCCTGTCGGTAAAACGGCGAATACATCTTTCCTAAAAATGAGCTTAGAGCTTCTTCCTGCTCACGTTTAAAAAAAAAACCCAAGTCTAATCCTTCCAAAACTGATTCCAAAGCTGAGTCAAACGAGAACTCTTCAATAGTTATTGCCATCTTCCTTGTTGTGCTTTCTCCAGCGTCATGCAGCTTTTTCTTCCCACCCTAAAAACCCCACCCGCTTTGCATCCAAAAATTCAAAACACATCTCTGCGTTGTGATTGGCCCGCCAGTTCTAGGGCCTGGAGCATTGATCGAGCTTAGACCACTCGCAGGCAAAATGATTTTGGCCGCTGGCGGGTGGGGCTAGTTCACTAGGCTAGCAGTCTGACTCGTTTTGTTGCTATTTGAGTTCCACAAAGCTGGGTCACTCAGAGTCTGTCTTGCTTACTATTGCAACTGACCCAGTACAGTTATCCTGGTCAGAGCGAGGTTTAGAGGCTACTTACTTCAGTGTCTTCTTTGTTGAATCCAGCCCCAGGGGGCACTGTTAGTGACAGACGGGGTGTTAAGGCTGGTTTCTACTTCGAAACCAGGTCGTCTGTGTAGGTGTCACGGTAAATGCAGAGGCGTCCTCGCCCCCTTCCGCAGACACTCTGCTGCACCTCTCCCAAATTGTAGATGACCACAGACAGTGCCACAGACAGGAGGCCTCTGATTGGCCAAATCTACATCCGCTTACACTATGCGTATTTCCTGTTTGGTACCTTACCGCCTTGTTTTGTTTATATGACCGCCATTGCAGAAAATGATTTGTGAGGATGGACCAGCTAGAAGAGCAAGGTGCGCAAGAACACTGGGACCCTTTTTCCACCTGGATCTCCGCTCTTTTTCACTCTTATGTCCCTCTGTTGTCGCACAAACTTGCCCTCATTTCCTCAACGCCTCGGCCGTACCAAGACCTACAGCTAGAAAAGAGTTAATTTACTGACCACATTAATTAGACCTCAGCTCTCTCACAGAGTAGCTCCAATCATGCCCTGTTCTGCATAGACCTGCACATTTTTGCATTAAAGT